GAAAGCAGTATAACTGCATGTTTTGTGATGTATAACAAAATGTCTTCCAATTTATAAATTTTTCCTATGAATGCATGCTGTTTTCAATCATAGAATCATAGTACTAAACACATTTTATAAAATCATGATTTCCCATCTCACTTCTCCTGTTTCTTGTGTCAACATCTATAAACAGATATATTCGATAAATTGAAGTACCGTAAAATCTGTATTAGAAGCCACATCCCTAATATAAGTCGTACCCATTCTTTTTGAATAATTGAGAACCAAAAATTCATCATTTCTCATATGTGTGGTTGCTCTAATAGAAACCGCATCCCTTCTGTTGCATTGTACCATTTTAATAGAAGCTGCGGCTTTTAATACAGATTTTACAGTAGTTGGTGATGACAACATTTTGTGTATAAAGTAACTGTGGCTACTCCCAGAATCATGATGTTCACCAAATTAAAGTACTTCACAATGTTTGAAACCACCAAGTAATACATATCCACATACTTACAGCTGTTATCACCCAGTACCTAGTGAAGCATGTTGCCCATTGAGATGAAAATTATTAACTTTTGATCAACTTTTATCTGGCAAAGCTTAAAAGCTTTTAAAATCCTGACTGTTTTTGTGGTGTGGACCAGAGGATATGATTCTGAAAGGGTCAGCAGGGACAACTAACTAACTGTTTAACTGTATTATGATTTATCCCCAGTTAGGTAGACCCTGTGGGTGCCGTAAACCCTGTCTAGCAACCCAGAGATATTTTAAGCTTATTTTTTGTTTGTTTACAAAGTCTATGTCCCCTCAAAACATTGTGTAATCACTGTCATTCAATATGTGTAAACCACATGTCACTTTTAACGTTTTCAAATTCCTTTTCTTCCTTTTATAGTCTTTCTTTTTTTGAACTTATTATCAAGACTACAATCTGGTTTTCAAAAAGTACCTGTTTTTACCTTAGGCACTTAGCCATTCATCTAATTAAAAAATGTGCATACAAGTAAATTTATGCAAATAATTTTGTTTTAAAAGCACCGTAAAGCTGTACAAGTGTGGTTTTATTGTTGTGCATTTAATGATTTTCTGTCGATCTCAGCAGAGTTGGTCTCTGCACCATTCACTACTCTGACCTATACTTTGACCAGCATTTCTATTCACTCTACCTGTACTTTTGTATTCCTATTAACAATGCTGTTATTGTGTTCTATAGGATATTGCACCCATTAGTGACTGAACTCTGTCTATAATTGGCATTATTACGCAGCTCTTTGAATCAATATAATGAGATATTTTGTAATAATGGTCCACTGACAGCAGCTTTAAACATGTTCATATGTTATACCTGTATGCTGCAATACAAAATTATATTTAAAATTTTAAATATTTAATAGAAGATCTGTGGATATAACATTCCTCTGCTCTTATACTGTAGCCACCATATTAAATTTTTATGTGTGATGATTAATTTACTTGAAACTAAAGTGTTTTTGAATTTTATATTTTAGTACCAGGGCAGGGATGGGCTTATAAAAATATGTGCACTAGGTATTCCATTGATCTCAATTCAAGCTATGTAATATTATTTAACAGGTGTTATTTTGGTCACTACACCTGCTGTGCTTTGCCTAGACATCAATACACGAGATGGAAATGCTGTGTATGACTGTAATACATCATCTATACTTATTGATTGGTCTACATTGTACAATCATTAGTCATGTTTGTATCATCTACAGAACTCGTGCATTGGTACTAAGAATGTATCTTCCATCAGGAAATACTGTATTTGTTCCATTAGAAACGCATCCACAATAGAGCGCATGTGTGCATTTTTAAGCAACAGTCTGATTTCTTACTACGCAAATGCCATTTTATGGAATATTTAGCCCATTTTACGTATCTTTCTGTAATTGTATAATAATTAATTTTAGACCAAATCAAGAGCATTTTGTTTATATTTTTTAATCCAATAAATACTGAGCCAAAATACCCTTTTTTGAATGATCGCATATAGGGTACAATGTTAGAATTTTTATGATACGTACCTGGACATCAAGAAAATTAATTTTTGGTTGTCTTGTGTGTATTCTTTTCTCTTCTACCTTCACATAAACTATGAATGTCTGGAAGGTTTATGGTTGTATGTATGACACTTGTGCTTATTTCACTGTGTTTATTCAATACATGGATAAAGTCCACTATTAACAACTCTACACACTTAAGTAATTTTTGGTAGCTCTATAAAGTAAAAGGTTTTGAGTAACCCTGTACAAAATGAATCTGTTTTATTGCATTTTCGCAATAGAGTGACTCTACCTTATTGGCTCTATTAGAAGTACACATCCAATAGAAGTGTACATAAGCAAAAAATGCATAATTATATGCTGAATCATTAAAATATGACTTACTTTTACCATATATACAGTATTCATATTACTGATCTGTTTTTCAAGTTGAATTTTTGTCACACTGGTAGCTTGAGAGGTTATGATTCAGATTTATTCATCTTAGCATTGTTTTATTATTGTACTTTCTACCAGGTTTATAACTTAGTGTAGATTTTTTCATTTTCTTTGGTGTCTGATTTTCCTTTTTGATCACTAGTATTGTTAATTTTAGTCAAAAATGTTTTTTTTCACATTCCATCAACTCCTTTAAAACAACAGCTATATATCGTATGGTGGTCTGTAAAAAGCAGAATACTTTACTGGTAGTTACTTTATTCTAGGAACATTTTACTTTGTGGAGGGGTGTTAGTGTAAAACCACATTTTTCACTCTGGTTAACTGCTTCGAAGTGCATGTAACTACTAGTTGCTTCTTTTGGATTCAGCGGTCATACCATTTTTAAGAGGGATGGGAATGCATATATTGTCTGTTGAACAATACATGGCTAGTATTAATTAAAAGTAACAAGTATTCCCTAGACTAATCATTTTTTTGTGAGGGTGGATAGGTATAATTTAATGACTCTTGGTATGACAGTGAAACAAGGAAACCAATCTTTTGTTTTTGACTAGTTAAAATTATGTTCTTGAAAATTGTTACACTAGTTTGAATTGCTGAAAATTTCTTGTTTCTTGTAAATTATACCAAGTATTGAGTTTGACCTTGCCTTACATAAAATTGGTGCTACTTTGCAATTGTCTCTTTTGCATGGTTTCTTAGGAAGAAGAATGCTGCTTTAGTCTGTGAGTTTATTGCTATCATACTAAACCTCTTAAATCCAAGTAACGATCAGTTAAAAACTAATCGGGATTCAAATACACCTGAGTACGGTCAAGTACGGTTATTTAGAGATTAATTCCACTGAATCCTCCCACTTGTAACAAGGTATGGTTGCTATATATTATACTATATTCATATTTTTGGCTTACATTACTCATTCAAACTTGAGAATAACTATTCGTTCTTACAGTCGTTTTTGAGTCCTACCTGAATCAAGTTACATACAACTGATCCAAATCACTGCTGTGTTTCACAACTTGTTTTGTTACTTTGTGCTGTTAATTTTATTTTAAAACCAACACTTATAGAACTGTTATTATTTAAAGTGTTTATCCAACATTTGTGGAGAAAAAAACAAAGTAAGTTGATCTCAAAAGTTGACAATGACAATGAGTACTACCATAATCAGCATTACAAAAATTACCGGTATCATGAAAATTTTTCAAAATTCACAAAATTATCTTTTTTTTTTTAACCCAGAGACTGTCTTTCTGTTAAATAACTTCAGTATTCATGCACTGTTACACATTTGTGGTCTGACTGGTAGATTTAGTTTGGTCTCATTATTTTCTAATCTTATTATTTTATTTATTCCTAACTTTTCTTTATTTATTGAATGCAATAGAGAACCAGCTAAATTACTGCATCTCTAAAACCAAGTGATAATTCTTAATATTAGCTTAGAAGTTATCTATTTTATCTCTTGTGTGCAAAGAACAAAAATGGAATCTTTGAATTTTACTCTGTCTGTGTGTATACATGTACATTTATAAATTTGTTATTCTTTGTATTTTTTTAATCTTCCAATCTTTCCGTTTATCCTGCATGTCAGAATTGGTGTAAAATTGCAAGAAAGTTTAGAAAAGACATTTGTAGTTGAATTTGGGTCGGTCCTGTGTACAAGTTCAACAGTGTATACAATCGATT